GTCGGTGAAATGAACTTGTCGGTGAATTAATTGTCGGTGAACTAAGCTGTCGGTGAAGTGATTGTCGGTGAAATGAGTACCACCCCCAATATTCGATAGAAAAATCGTAGTTCTTAATGAAGAAAAAGTTTTTTTTTTATTACATAAACTCGAAAGTTGGATTATTATTATTTTTCTCCTTATATTAATACGAAGCCGAGTGATCATTATTGAATTTATTACTGAATCTTGTGACATAATAAGCTTAAACATGTAATCAATTGCATTAAAAATTATCCCAAATTATTTTTTCAATCGGTGAATATTGATAAGTTACGTATAATTAATATTTAACCGTTAGTACACGAATAAACAGATTTATAAGTTTCTATACACGCGATCAGACAATTCATAAAACTATAAAGGTCACTCTTCAATTTATGAATTATTCGAAGATTTTGTATTAGCGTCAACTATAATTTTCAAGGCACGATTTTCGAAATAATACTCATACACGTTATTTCGAGAATCTACAATCATGATGTATCTGCATGCTTAGATAAACGTAACTCTATAAAATAAATTTCTACTTTTACTAATTTTCTGCAACTCAATAACTATTTGTTCCAATCCCAAACGATCTTTCATCAGATATTTATAAATTGCAATGTTTTCCTGTCTCGGTTGTGCCACAATTCATCAATATTAATGCCTGATCGATAATTAACCGCAAACTTATTAAAAACTAGCTTTAATTGCAGCACCTAATGAACCACCAAACTTGCATACCAAAAGCATCGGTCAATACCTGTAAAATCTCATTATTCTTGCTCACACCTCCAACCACTAAACGTTCTTAACCAAGTCAACTTATTTATCTACATTTTATATCATCTGATAATAGATTATCAACTTTTAACTTCATATACATAAATTGTGACTCAACTACTGTTCACTGTTCTAATATTGCTCTCTGACATATTCTTATTTATTAAAAGTCATAAATACTATAACAAAATTTTAGCTTAAATAATAACCATTAATTTGATTACCAGTAAACCTTTCAAAGTCCTTAAGACCACTAATACATGCCAATACATCTGGTTCGCCAATTAATTTTCCAAATTCTTGCATTGTAGTGAGATATTTGAACCTTTCCATGTTGAAGAATTTGTGCTTTATTAAAATTTTAATTAATGTTTAATGAATTTGGCAAATTTAAATGAATCGAAAAGTAGTAGACCAGTATATACTTCTGTATTGTGTTGCTATTGTTAAGAAAAATTTAATTTTGATAAAAAATTTTGAATAAATTAGTATACACTGTATTTAATACCTGGCCAGCCCCAGAAATCACTTTGCCTTTAAAGAAGGAAAATTCTTGTGATCGAAGTTTTGCAAGCAATAAATCTATGGATTCTACCCATATTATTGTAGAACAAGTTACAATGTTTTCATTTGTTATTACATCATTCTTAATTCTATGATTGAAATTTATCATTTAAAAAATAAAATATTTAGGCATTGAGAACATACCCATATTTATCCCCAAACTCATTATTAAAGTGCATACTACATGGCAATTATTATTTATAACAATAAGTTTTAGTGCTTGAATCGACAAATCTAGACAGATAGAAAGGTTGGCTTCATTTAAAAGGTTCGATATTTTTTAAGTGATGAACATAAAAACCCAAACCAGAGACCTGCAAAAAATTTAGATTCAAATTTTTTCAAATTTTCCAAAACCAAAAATTATAGGATACATGTGATCTGGCCAATAAAAATTCATGGTAAATTGATACGTATATAAATTAGTAAGCACAAGTCTTTCAAAGTCTTTCGATTGAAGAAAACTAAAATACAAACGAATAAAAAAAGAGCCATCGCTATGCAATTTTAGCACATGCGCATTATTATTTATTGTCTGATTTTTTTGAAAAGGAATTTATGTCGTGCATCAGATTCGAAGAGGCGTAGGATTGAAATTGATTTGCGTCAGAATGAAAATTGATTCTGAGATATGTCAAACCAATAATTGGTTTTCATAACCCGGCCGGGTCAAAATTTGAAATTTTGCAAAAAAATTTTTGATATGTTTTAATAACCAGGTGGGTATTTAAATTTTTTTTTTATATGAAATTTAAAAAAAAAAAGCCGGCCGGCCGGGTCTGTTTAAAAGTTTCATGTTATGAAAACCAATATATTAA